TTGTGGGGTTTGGGGTTGAGGGTGTCTCTCGAGCAGCAAGACCCCAAAAACAAAAGAAAGCAATACAAAGCCAACATTATGGATAATCCTAGGATCTCAGCAAAATTAATAGAAACTGAAGGCCGTGATTCCCACAACTTAAACCTTTATAAACCCTAAACTTCTTACAACCTGGCATCCCGGAGCGGGTCGTATTAATGCCTCTGTAATGTAAGAACTGCTATGAGGGTTCCATCAAGGTTGCTCTATTTTTGCAGTTAGGGGTTTAAGGGTTGACGAGTTCAAGGTTACTACTAGGACTACTATAATCAAGCTTGGGAAAGCTTAGGAACGGTTTAGAATGCTTAGAATGGAAGGTTTCGGGCTCAAGCTTTGGAGTACAGGGGTGTTGTTGCAACCATCCGCACTGAACCCTCAAAGTGTCCTCCCGTCAGTTCGCGGCCACGAGACGTACAATAGCTGCCGCAGCCGCACCAATCAGGGGTCCCACAAACCTTGCATGCGCGAGGCTTCCCTAAAGGCTGCACCCCACACAGAAACCAACGCCACAATCCCTGAAGCGATCACATAGACCGCAAGCCGTTGACAGAACCCGAGCGTCCAAAACTGCGAATCTAGAACCATCGCTGGTAACTCCGAAACCCTAAACCCTAAACGCCAAACCGTAAACTCTCCTCCAGGGTACATCATCCACAGAGCCTCCATCGCTCCGCTTGTGTAGTTGTCGCAGCCTCCACACTCAGCTCTATGGCTTAGGGTTTTGGGGGTTTCAGGGTTTATATAGGGTTTAGGGGATTAGGACTTCGGGCTTTAGGATTTTAGGGTTTAGGGATGTTTGCGGTTTAAAGTTTAGGGGTTTAGGATTTCAGGTATTATAAGTTATAAGGATGTTGAAAGGGTTCAAAGTTTAGGGGTTTAGGGTTTCAGACTGAGTTTAGGGATGTTTAGGGTTTAAAGTTTAGGGGTTAGGGATGTTTAGGGTTCAAAGTTTAGGGGTTTAGGGGCTCGTCGGCACACCAGTCGTGGAGGTAGAAGTAGAGTAGGAGCAGCAGCAGCAGCATGGCAGCAGTACCGGCAGCCAAAGCCGCAGCAGCAACAGCAGCAGTAGTCGTGGAGGTGGTAAGTCAGGTACGAGTAGCAATCGTGTCAGTAGTCATCGTCGTCGTGTCGGTGGAATCCGTATAGAGTACCAGAAGCAAGACCTGCCTTTGACACCCGCCATACTCCCGATCCCACAGCCGCCGTCAGCCCCGAACCGAAAGACCTTCTCGATCCCGATGAAGAGCTATTACTACACTGGCGCTCTAAGCGATTGAACCCTAAACCCTAAACCCTAAACTGTGGAAGATTCGCAGAGAAACGAAACTCTTAGGCCCACCAAGGGAGATATGACATGTCCCAAAGGCCTACTCAACCCTAAACCTTTCGACCCCTCAACCCTAAACCCCTAAACCCCCCCTAAACCCTAAACACTAAACCCAACTCCTAACCCCTAAACCCCAAAGCCCTAGAAATACCAGTGGCCTCGGAATGCAGAGACCACGGCAGGGCCCAACGAGCGAGTCGGGTTGATTGAGCAGCCATCCACCTCGGTTTAGAGTTGAGGGGTTTAAACACTTTAAAGTCTCGAGTTTGAGATTCAGGACACACGAAACTCCCAGGCTCTGGGATCTTAGCCCTACCCTAAGCCGTAAACCCTAAACCC